GAGGCAGTTGTTAAGTGAACTTTGCCTCGTTTTACGACCTTTCTTGTTAACAGTTGTTCAGTGAATCACTGCAGCCGTTAAGTTAGCAACACGGTGGTTAAGCGAATCTGGCTTAACCCCCCCCCCCCTCGGGACACTGCAATTGTCATAAATACGAGTCAGATGCCAAGCGGCTGGATTTTGATCACATGACCCTGGGGAATGCGGCAACGGTCGTAAGCGTGAAAAACGGTCCTAAGTCCCTTTTTTCAGTGCCGTTGTAACTTCGGTCACTAAGCGGATCGTTGTAAGTTGAGGACCACTCGTACAAGCCAAATAACTGTGGAACAGACCCTGTTACCAAGGAACTCCTGGCCAATTTCATACGTTCAAGAACCATCAGGATTAATTATAGGGTCAAAGACATTTGCATATGGAGGTTTTTCCTCCAAAAGATATTTGCAAAACAATTCTGAAAAAAAAAAATGCAGGCAGTTATTTCTTTCAAGCAGCTGGAAAAATTGCAACTATACATCACAATCTCGTTCCCACTTATTTGGTATTTGAAGACCTGGTCAGTGAATTGCTGTTGAGGGTTCAGGATGGTAAATAACTATTTCCTTTCTCACGTGATTTTATTAGACATACTGCCTTAGAATAAGCCAATTCAGAATGGAGGAAATATTTCTCTCCCACACAGATAAACGCCTCCAGGTCCTTCAAGGACAACTGTGGAGACCCACCCATAAGACTGCACAAGGCTGACCTTGAGAAGTTTCTAGATTAGTCTACTTCTCCCATTACATCTTTGTCTCCAATAACTCTCACACACCTTGATGGCAATACTTCCATACTCCGTTCTTGAACCTAGCTTGACAAATTGCAGAAAGCAAAGGAAAAGCAAACCCCAAATCAAAGCCAACCAACCACGTTGAAAAGTAATTTGTTTTGCTCTTGCCTAATTCCAGAACTGGCTAAAAAAAAATGCTTTTATTTTCTAACATGGGTTTCCAAATACAATTGCATCCCTCCTAAATCATTTAAAGACAAATACTTTAAAGTTATCAGGTCTCATTTCCAAGTAAATACACGCACGAGGAAGGCAGGGTGCATCAAGAATTCAATAGGAAGCGTATCCTTCAAAACAAGGGTTCGTAAGGACAACCAGGGATTCTGTGTTTTGTTCCTTTTGTAATACAAAGAGTCACTCTTAAGAAAGAAAAAAAAACTGGAAGGAAAAAAAAAGAAACTGGCAAAATCTGCCATATCAGATCTCAAACCGATTCAAGGTACCTGCAACGGCGAGATCGGTGATTCCACTCGGTCTGCTTCATTATGCGCGGGTGGAATTGTATTAATCTTTGTGCCGTTTATAGAGGAATGTTAAAAGCTCTGTGCATAGCCTTTCAGTCTCAAGTAGGTGATAGTGGCCACTTTTTTCTTTAATGCCAACTGAAATAATTGTCCCGAGATAACCAACATATGAAGGAATGTGAGAGAAAAAGGCGTGGAGTATTGATATCCTCGTGGAGAAAAAAAATTGCGCCATATTGATATACTTGAGACATGAAGCTTGCAAAGCTGACAGCCCAGGTTCGAGACGGGGTGAGCTCCCGTCCCTTGCTCCAGCTCCTGTCCACCTAGCAATTCGAAAGCATGCAAATGCAAGTAGATAAATAGGTACTTTGGTGGGAAAATAACAGCGTTCTGTGCATCTTGGTGTATAGTCATGACCACAGAAATGTCTTTGGATAATACTGTCTCCTTCAGCTAAGAAACTGCCTTCTAGAGTCAGATATGACTGAACATTTACCTTTACTTTTATTAAAGGGAATAGAATAGAATAGAATAGAATAGAATAGAATGGAATTAGAATGGAATAGAATTAGAATAGAATAGAATGGAAATAGAATAGAATGGAAAGAATAGAATTTAATAGAATAGAATAGTAGAATATAGCATATACAATAGAATATACAATAATAGAATACAGATTAGAATAGAATACAGAATATAGAATACAGAATAGAATATAGATTAGAAGAATAGAATAGAATAGAATATAGATTAGAGTAGAATAGAGAATAGAATAATAGCATAGAATAGAATATTCTTTATTGGCCAAGTATGATTGGACACACAAGGAATTTGTCTCCGGGGCATAAGCTCTCAGTGTACATACAAACAACAAATATAATAGGATACCAATAGGAGAAGGCAGTAGGAAAGATGAGAAGGATAATAGTACTGGTAATACAAGCCTACTACATGGGTAAATAACAATGTAGGTCTCTAGAGATTTTCTGTTCACTAGGTCTCTCTGGAGATCTGTGTAAAATAGTTGGGTGGAAAGAGGGACTTTATTCCGAAAGTTTGGAAAAGCCGTTTCAGATCTCACGGATGGTTGGTTGTACCAACATATTAGATGAACCCATAGCAACTTCTTTTACCCAGAGTTACAAACTTGAAGGTAGATGATGCAACCAGTCTGCTAAAGGTAAGCAAGTTTTTTATCGTAATCTCTGGCAGTTCACACCTAGAGTACATAGGGAAGTACAGACAGACGTATATTGCGCAAAAGGGCAGAATAATAATCTATATACTTTGTCAAGACTAGCAAAAGAGTTCAATAGTTTTGTTAAGTATTGTTGCTATAGCTGTACTGCACGACTCAAGGTGGGTTCCTAAGTATCATCTGCAAAAAAAAAAAAAAAACAGCTAAATTTTTGGGCACACATCCAGCTTCCTTTTCACTGCTGCCCTGAGAGAATTGCTGACTCAAAAGAATGACTGAAATAAGTTTGTGAAATCATCCCAGCCCTGCGGTACTTCTTTAAAAGATTGACAATTTTCCTCTAGCGATGTACCTTTGGAGAGCATTCAGTGGGCATCTAAAAATGCATACGAGAGCTTTGTTCTACTTTATGCAGTTTCGTGAATTAAAAAGGTGGGGGGGAACTATTCAAAATCAAATAATATAAAGATCATTTATTTGAGCCTATCTTATTCGCGCATGCCTTGCATCTCATTGAGCAAAAGGCTTGATGGCGAGCATAGGTACTTAAAATCAGCTGCCTCCTTTGAAGTCAAAACTGGCCAGTACTACGGTCAAATGTCATTAAACCGATCTCAATTGATGCAACTGGTTTATTACACAGCTGGAGCTCATACTGTCCCTTGCAGCCAAGGCATATGAACCAGAAACAAAAACTTTCCCTAATTATATGATGCCAAGGTGTACCCAGACATTTCTAATAAAGTAGAGGCTTTACATGCCTTGCTAATCTCTGTCCAGCAGCCTAAAGCTCATACTGGTAGTTTTTGACTTATAGCTGGTCACTTAACAAAAAAGTTTCTTAACAATCCATCCTCCAAGTTACAATTGCTGCGTAATTGTATTTTGGGTGCTTGTGGCAACTGGTTCATATTTACAACCAGTTGCAACATCTCCGGGTCATGTGATTGCATTTTTCTATTTTCTGGTCAAAAAAAAAAAAAAAAGTTCAATTGGACGAGTTGGGCTTACAACCCTTTGATTTGCTCAATGGCCACAGTTACTCATTTAGCGACCATTATAAAAATGGTTGCAAAATCGAGACCAGTCACATGGTGACTTGAGTTACGACCAAATCTCCGGCCTCGATTGTGGTTGTAAGTCAGGGACTACTGGGAACAGCGCTTCTCCCATTCACTCCTTGCTTCTTCTCCTCTTACCTAAAATCTTGTTTGCTGTTAAAAGAATCATTGATGATTACTTTTAGTCATCTGAATTTTTTTTCACCTTGGATAACTTTAAAAATAATGTATTGTGCGATATGTGCTAATATGCATGGCTTCTAGGAACAAATATGAAATGTGTGAGAGAACACACTCACATTTCTCCTGGGTGTTGATTCCCATTTACAGATGCCTCAAAGGAAGATAAGGCAGATAAGCATTCAGGGAATAGCCTGCTAGAGAAAGATCTTGGCACAAAGGGATTCTGCTGCAGGACCATAGCATTAATAGTGCAACTGCAAGGAATAATTCCATTTTAGTTTGCTTTCATTCCATTATTGCCAAAACAAAAACCCAAACAAAACAGCCAACATCACTTAAAGAGATTTCAGTTTGCCAGAAATTCTTTTAATGACAGAATTTTAAAAAGACCAAACAGCTTACTATAAATATGGCCTATATTTATAGTTACAAATACTGTAAACTATGCCTTCTTGTATTGCACAACTAATTAATACAAGAATGACCTCAAAGTGTTTCAAGATCTCTCGATTTTTTTGAAAATTGGCCTGAATTTCCCCACTAACTTAAAATAAATTAAAAGAACATTATGAAACAACTTATTCAAAATTAAGTTTGAAATCAAAATGTAATGATATCTACAATCTAAAAGAAGCCTTTTTTGGAATTTGTCTAATGGAGTCTCTATTCTTCAAGTTGTATGTTATAACTGTACCATCCTTAGGGGCAAAACAGCACCATCAAATATTACCAATATATGGAAGTCTACCTTTAGCCAAAAACAATTTTGCTGTGCGTCAGATGACATCCATAAGTTATTTCAAAAGGTCCCCTTCCAAAAAAAACCAAAAAGGAAACAGAATTAAAACCTGAATCACCGGAAAGAAAAATCATTTATTTAATGAAAAACTAGAAGTTAATAAAAATTAGCAAATACACAGAAAATTTATACAAGAACAGCAGCAATACTATGTAGTGAGTTGGGAAGAAGAAGAAAAAGAAAAAGCAAGGGAGAAGAGGAAAGAACAGGAGAAACAGCGATCAAACCCCAGACCGCTTTGCATGGCTTGTCAGTCAAAAGAAACACAAATGAAACACAAAACGGTATCCTTTTCAAAAGTACAATCAATCTACAAAGAGGTTTAGAATTATTTTACAGCACTTTTCATAGAATCAATTCTTAATACAAAAGGATGCCCATTTTGGGTATATATATAATATAATATATTTTTATATTCATATATATATATATATATATATATATATATATATATATATATATATATATATATATATATATATTTCAGTGGTTTACTGCTGACTCATTTAAATATATTAGTGTTATTACATGCAACTGTTACCTGCGCCTGAACAGTCTTCCCATTAATTTACCTTCATGTACGCTAGCCTCTCCCTCCCAATTGTTCACACCTAGCAGTCAGATGTTTACCACGGTTTCTGCGAAACTGAATGCAGCCGATTGGATTGAGGTGATTACTATTATTATTTTTTTAGACACTGGCCCTGAAAATGTCAGATTGGGTTTTCAGCACATTGAAATTGTCACATTAATACCTAAGTTGCCATTCTCTGCAAAAAGCTGTGCGATGCTGGTGTCAAAGACTAAGCAGTCACTATTCATGATGGCTGTTGCGATTCCCTCGTGGATCGATCGTGGAGTGGCTTCCCAAGTCAATCGCCGCCTATGGCCGTTCAGCTCGAGGCGGTAAGCAAAATTTTCAGCTTGTTTCCGCGTGCCTATCAACTGTACGATTGCAAAGAACTGCTGGTGACCGTCGTATTTTTCCTGTTTCTCCAGTACTAACATGAAGTGAAAGCCAAAACAAGACTGCATCATAACCCAGTCAACAGCTCCGGGAAGATTAATGTCTGTAGCAAGGAAAACAATATCTTCTCCCTGTAGCGTTGTTATTGATTTATGTTGGTGCATGAGGTGTGGCATGACTGCATCCAGAGAGCCTTGCCACTTACAAGAAGCCCCAGGGCACGGGCAAGAGTAAGGCCTAAATTCACAAAGCTCTTCGTGGTCAGCTTTCTCGGTGTGTGGCAATGTTATCTCGCAGCCAGAGGAGGCGTATTTACAAGGAAACAGTACAGAGTTGGCCACTTTTTCCATCGCCAAATTCCGAATGGAGCCCAAGGGCCCTCGGCAGGTCGGACAACAGGTGAGCTTGGGGCGACAGTTGCTACAAACAAGATGGCCGCTTTGGCACTGGAGGATCGGTGGCAGCACATAGTCAAAACAGACGGGACACTCAAAGAGGCTGGCCAAGTCATTGTTGGAGGCGGTGGTGCCTGTCAAGGCAGGTACCCTTTGGGACGGTGTACACTTCGAGGTACCTGTAGGAAGTGCTGTGGCAGTCTGACGACTCATTTCTGCAAGAAGCAAACAAACAAATGCAAAGTGAGCTCCTTTTCACTAGCAACAATCATCTCACAAACTTTATTTTTTTTTATGGGAAAAAGATCAAAGACAACAATGGGCTGATCCACAAAGTGCAACTATTTCTCACAGCGAATTTTAGATGGTGATAAAGAGAACATAATGACCTTATACCTCTCTGAACAACTGGTATTTAGATTTGCACAGCCTCTGAAATGTTCCATAGTTACCCTCTATAGTGAGGTCTCAAATCTGCTCTGACGGTCTGTCTAAAAGATAGTAAGAGGTTTGAATAACAGCAACAGGTTTTACCTGAAATGGAATCACTAGATTAGCATTTTTCTCATTGTTTTTCCTTCAGCGTTGCTAATAAAAATATTTAAAAAGAGTGCTCATTTAAATACCAAGTCTAGTAAGCTGATTTAGAACACTTTTAATTTCTCTTTTTTTAAGCAAGCCTGCATTTCAGTCCAGTAAGCATCTATGAAGTTTACAAACTGGTGAATTAAGATACAAAATTATTTTGTATGGCAAAATGTTGGTTATGATTTGCTTGATCAAATGGGATCTGTAAATAACATCCCCCCCCCAACCCGCAGAACTGGGATTATCAAGAAAACTTCCAGAGGTTCCAGACTTGTGACTGAAATCACACCCTAGATAGAACTGCAACAATATAGCCAAAACTTTTGTCAAAACAGTAAACAAAATATAGCAGTATTTGTAATAAAGTGTTGCTTATTTTCTGGCATCTTTTCACCCCCCACAGAGAAATTATCTATTGACAGGAACTGCCCATTGCTGACAAAATAATCAAGCTCAGTCAGGATTTTCCAACATCTCCAAATTAGCTGCTAGTTAAAAATAAAAAAGGTTTCCTGAGTAGCTACGTGCTGTTGAAGAAACCTACTTCCGGATACACTGAGAGCTTTTCCTCCAGACACCCTGGGTGATAATTAGCTATTGTACCAGGCCTCTTGCAATGCAAAAACTGCTATCATCTTAGTGACAAACACCTAGGAGGCAAGCAATGGCATTATGCACAGGAGGAATAGCGGCACCCTGAACCAACATTTCAGCATATTGTGCTTGGTATGGATTTCAACAAAAGATGGAAAATCAGTCTCTTCCTAAACACGTGGGACCAAAATATCAATATTTGGAGGGTGCCAGATTTCAACAACGTGACAGTTTACATTTGTTTTTCATACCAATCAGAACATTTTCATGCAATATTTTCCCTGGCCATCTGGCTACATGTTTTGAGTGGCTGAAATGCTATTAAATACCTATGCCTAAATATAGCTAACCTCACTGGGCTGGTAACAGTCTCACTGTGCAGATCAGGAAGCATCTTGCAAGCCCCAGAAAAGTATGCTGAAAGTACTTAAATCAATTAATGGGTAGGACTCAGCAGTTAAAGTATTCAAATTAAAACAATGTCTCGATTTATTTGGCAGCAAGTTTCTCTGGAAAAAAAAACATGGTTAAAGCAAACTACTGCTGTTGTAATTAAAAAGGCAAGGGCGGCATGTACCATCGTGGGATCGCATTTCTCCTTTTTGTTAAAAGAGAGGCAATGCCTCTTCTGCCTATCTTGAAAATTCCCCCAGAACTATTTATGACCAAGAAGACATTCCTTAAATCAAATACATTATAATGAGGGAATTGTCACACACATATTTGGTTACCCTGTTGTGTAAAACACCCACACCCAAAAAGCTGGGCATTGCGCACGTTTAGCCACACTCAACCGGGCCATGCATTTCATAATATACAATCCTGTAAAATGATTTAGAAATCACGTTTCCACACCCTTTAATCCGACGGCAAATGCTTCCAACTACTTTATCAAGTTTATCAAAGCTCAGCCCTAATTATTTAGTACTTGAAAAGATTAATCATTTGGGTTTTACACTTACAGTAAAACAATTCCCACACTATATTTGTAGGATTATTATTCTATAGTTATAGAATCTATCAAGCGTCTACTGATTCTTGAAAAATGAGGAAGGGACCCCATTCTCATACAAATTTTCTGTATATTGACAGGAGCATGCTCTAGAAAAGTTTTCTAACTAGATGCTTTGCCAATTATAATTAGTTCATTTGGATGGCCTCATGGGGCAATGTACATAAAATTGTATTTTACATTAAACATATTAGTATAAATGTTTTACAGCAGGCATGTCAAACTGCCGGCCCGCAGGCCAGATGTGTCACACCGAAACTGTGCCCACCCCATTGCCAGCAATGGGGAAAAAAGTCCCAATACGTCGCGCGACGTCATGTGACATTGTAAATTTGACATGCCTGTTTTACAGGCTGTTTTATTGACCTTGCTTAAAATAACTCAGTAGCTTTCCATATTGCCAATCATTTGCCAGAAGAGAAAGCCCTCATATGATGAAATCTTAATCACTTTGGATGAAAAGTGATCATCGCTGTAGTCATCTAGCCAGACAGGACAGGCTTCTATTTATTCATTTAATTTCTTTCTGCCATATCTATAACTTTCTTCACTTTTATCCTCATAATATCTTTTGAAGTACAGGTTGTGAGTTTTCAGGGCTGAGTGTGGACCTGGATCAAATCCTGAGTCATAGTCCAACACCCTAACCAGTATGTTGGCTCTTTCTTTCAATTTAAACTGAACTGACTTTACTAAAAACATGTTTTGCAAACTTAAATATCTAGCTTATTTGAAATGATATTTCATTTCTAGAACTACAAAACCTGGCACATTATTAAAATATTAAATTCTTACTTGACCTAATTAAAAACTAATTTTCCACTTCTTTAAGTGTAATTGTGCTCATGTTAGTAGTTAAGTAGTAGCTGATAGCAGAATTAGCCCCACTATTGTATGTCTCATGCTTTAGTATAAAATGTTTTTAAAGCACTTCTGTGTCCAATTGCAGGTATAAATTACTATCAAATAGTTGTATGAAGTACTGCATGAAAAAGATTCTGAGATTCCAATTATCGTTCCTTTCTGCCTTTATCTATAGGCCAGATTTAATACATTATGTCAGTTAAAGTATTAGCACATGCAAATTACCAGTTATTAACAGCTGGAAGTATTCTCCATTCCCCTCCATCATTAAATCTTCAAAAATGAACTGTATTAATATCAGATGAAAATATATGCAAAAGCCTGCTGTGCTAAAACTAATCTTTATCCAGCAAGAGAATCATCCAGTGACTCACCACTTTTAAGTGTTTTGTATACTTTCTCAAAACACAAATGACAGGCAGGGTGTGGATAAGTGTGGGATCCTGCCTCATTTTCACAGAGCGTGTCAGAGCATGCCCAATTGTAAAACAGATCTCAAATATTACACAATGGATGTAGATCTGTTTTCTGACCGCATCAATACTTTACTTGCTAACTATACTAAAAATCGCTATTTTTCAACAGTCAGCAATTGTGTGAGAATACAATCTGCTTGTTAGATTCCAAAATTCCATTTTGCACAGTAAGTATATTTAGGGCTTCTACTCTTAACAGAAAGGGGAACCTGCTCTGTTTTGGTATTAGAAAAAAAATCAAGTACAATTACAATTAAAATCAGATACAAATTAGACAACTATGAGCCAACTCTTCTCCAAGATTTTTTAACCACAGAAAAGATAATGATTTTTAATTGGCTCAATATTCAAGAATACTCAAGAAGGACCTCAAGAATTCAAATACAACTTACCAAATTATATCTCTCGGGATTACCTTATCAGGGCATGCCAAATTTCAAACTGATACAATTACTTAATAATGTATTGCAAACATATTACACAGTGATTCTTCACTTTCTTTGTCACATTTTAGACACAGAGTGAATTTTGAGCTAAAACAAAATATTAGCAATTATTCCAGGCCCATTTAAAGCACGTGAAGGTTTTACTTGTGATACAGTATACAGTTCTACTACTTAGTACAGTGTTTCTCAACCTGTGGGTCGGGACTCCATTTGGGGTCGAACGACCATTTCACGGGGGTCCCAAACAACGCAGTCCGCCATTTTTCCCCCCTTTTCCTTAGCTGTGCTACTCCCTTTTATTCTATTGGCTTTTGAAAGCCAATAGAATAGACTCTCTTGAATAGAGTCTAATTCTATTGGCTTTCAAAAGCCAATAGGAATTGTCCAGGCTGTCTCTGCCCTGCTGAGCCCGCCAAAAGTCCCATTCTGCAAACGGTGCTGCCCCAGTTGAGTAGTCCTCGACTTACGACCGGTTGAGTAGTCCTCGACTTACGACCGGTTGGGGGGGGGGTTGCGGCATTAAAAAGGTTGAGAACCACTGACTTAGTAGGACCAATTCAACTAAATTACCACCTGCGGAAAACGTACGGGTGTTTCTCCCATTTCTTTAAAACAAAACAAACAAATGCCTGCGACTGCCAGGGCCACAACAGACTTCTACAACTCTTGAATGTGAGACTCCACAAACCACCCAGCTTCGAAATGTGCTACCTTTTCTTTTGTTGCTTTTATTTCCTGGCAGACAGGTATCAAGGATTCCTTTCCAAGCATACAAAAAACTGAAGGCGGATTTCCCCGTCATCAGGAGTCAAACAGCTCATTGCGTTTCTCCATAGAAACAAAAACAATCCACAACAGAGGGCCCTGCTGGAAATTCCTAGGCTTGCAGACAGCCAGCGCAAACACAATACCCAGAAGGGGGCACAAATCCATGAAAGGCAGGCCGTTTCCCGAACATGGCCAGGGCGTGGAAACCCAACCTTTCCTTTTCAGTAAAGTTTCCGAAGTAATCCGGAGTGAAAACCAATTGGGAAAGAGAAGGGTGGGGGAGAAGCAAAGGTGAGAGTCACGGCGTTGCAAATCCCGCCAGCCAGCCTCCAGTTAGATCCACTTTGATCAGAAAAGCTGCTTAGGACGGCTCCTGCATTGTCACTTCCACCACCCAGCCTACTTGTAATCTTGGGTGATCTCCAGAGTCAGAGCTGGCCACGGCACACAAATCCAGACGCAGCAGCAGCAGCAGCAGCTCCTCCAGGATTCAGCCCAGTGCCTTCTGCAGCAAAGCCACTGGCTGCCGAAGGAGCCCTGAGTCTGCTATTCTTCGGCTCCTCGTACACATCGGGGAGGGAGCCCCAGAATAGAGGCGGTGCCTCACCTCAGCCTAGGGAAGGAAGAGGCAGGCAGGCAGGCTGGTCGGCCAGCCAACAGGCGTATCAGCCTCACATGACCAGCTGGACTCTGCATGCAGTCAACTAATGCAGGCATCCATCAAAGCAGAGTCTGCTTAATGCAGGAAAAGGCAGGCTCGGAAAAGGAGCCCTGGGCCCTTCCCCAACCACAGCCAAGCTAGAAGATGAGCTGCAGGCAAAATGCAAACTACAGCCCTGCACTCCGCCCTCCCCTCCGAGGACCAGACTGTCTCCAACAAGCAGCTGGTGAGTTCAATTAGTGTCCTCCTGGAAAGAGGGTTTAATATGGAACAGAAAGAGCAGCAAGGCCAGCAGACCTCTGAAACGAATGAGGCCAGGCTGTCGTCTTCTTCCCTGTACAGTCCCAGGCTTCCTAGAAAGGTCCAGCAGGGGACAGACTCTATCTGGGTTTGGCAGCAAAGCGTGATCAGGCCTGATTAATACTCGGAAGGGAGACCACCAGGAAATCTCAGGGTAGAGTTAAAAGTTAAAACAATATTCTCAGAGAGGCAATGGCAAATCTCTCGTATACTATTGGGAGGAAACTGCATAGTTCTCTCCAGATAAGCTCAACTCACTAAATTATAATATGAACATTATTTTGGAATAAACAATCCCTTTTATGATTAGTAAGACTATCAGTTCTCTCTATGTTGCCCACAGGCTGACAGCTACAGAAGAGTCTCTGCCATACCTGGAAATGCCAAGAATGGAACACAAGATATTTTACACAGCCTTCCCATGAAAACTGCTGTTTATACTTAGTTGTATTTAAAACACACATGCAAGCCTAAAAGAAGTGAGCAATAATTTCTATTGGGACCGTGCAGATAAAGACAAACAAGCCAAATCTCAGTAAATCAACTTAAATTCCAGGATTCCTCAATATAGAGAGAACAACACATTCTGCAGTCAACGCAGGCAGACAAAAGAAGATGCAGATCTCTGGTCCAAGAGCCACAGATGACCTTTGAAAGCCCTGTGTAACTCTCTCCAAGGATACACCCAATGGTTTAAATGCTAATGTAACATAAAGAAGTTATTAAATACATTACAGAAATACTAGTAACCATATTTAATTTTACTTCAGTTCATGTCAGATCAACAAAAATCTGATTTCTGTCTCAGCCCTGTCACTAACTTTTAGTATGCAGCCTTCAAAAAAAGTTTGTTCTTCTGATGCACTGAATGCCAGGAATAGCACCAGATACAACACGACTTATCTGATGACGCATGGAACAAACAGCTGCAAATTCCTAGGCTTCCTATAGGTTTAAACCTAAATGTATAAGCATTTGTATTAATAGTGTGTATGGATTTAGATAATTAAACTATTTTTAAAGAGTTAAGTGATAGAAACTAAACCCTAATCTAAACTAAATAGCACTATGAGTGAGACTAGGGGACAGGGTGATAGATTGAAAATACATTTCTGTTTGGAAGGCCATTTCAGGCTGTGTAACAATTACTATTACGTGCACTGGAGGCTCCAGAAAACCATCTAACAGAAAGGCCATCGCATGGCAATGAGATCCTAGAAATTTCAGCTCTTTCAAACCTACATTCTTTTCTGTGCCAGGCCAGCTCCAAAACTGCATTCTCATTTCCTGCCTCTATCCCTGTTTTGAGGAAATCTTGTGTGATGATGGTCACAGAGACAACATTTTCAGGGCTTATGAGGTTCCGCCTGAGAAAGCACTCTTCCGTAATGTGCCCTATAATAATACTCTGTTGAAATATTCCATGGAGGTTTCACATATCAAAATGTGACAACTACTTGTTCTTTAGGAAAAATGTTCCCATTATTAAGCGTTTTATCTAAAATGTATCCATTACTAAAGGTTTGGTTAGTGTGTGAATGGGACACTTTTAGAAAATTCAGTGCTGTAACTTAAATTAAAAACCTGAAAAAGTATTAAAGAAAAAACAAGACACTTTCTTGTTATCAAGAAAACTAATATAAGTCACTAGAAATCTAGTTCAACTAAAAGGGAGACATCACTTATAAAGTCTGAAAAGTAACGTTTAAGAGTTTTCTGGAATCTTATCGTTCTACAAATATTGCATACACTTTAGTATGTAAAGTGTTTATATAAATTAAACAAGAAACTTGAAATTAACTAAGAGCCATTCAAAGGAGATAGAGATTGCACCATCCACTTACACAAGCCCAATAAATCTTTGTTTCAACTTCTCATAGAAAAGCTGTAAGGGACTTCCAGTATATTTTCATATCCTTCCAATATTTCCTGGTGGTCTCCCATCCAGTACTAACAAGACTAATAATGCTTCAGCCACATTTATTACCCAAATGGGCTATAAATAAATGCATTTCAACGCTATTGAAATCTTCCTTTAAAAAGATGCTTTGGGATAGAACTGACTTGAAATACATGTAATACATAACTTAATGTATTACATGTACAGTTTGTAAGTATTTACAAACTGCAATAACAGAACGAATCTAGCAAGCTACAAAATGTAAGAGCTAGATCACAATAAAACTTATCATATAATAGGTAGTGTATAGACTCAAGTTGTAGAATTAGCAACAATTTCTCACATCCAAATTGCTTGTGGTTAGCATCCATCCCAATTTTAGGACACTTTTCCTCAAGCTTATGCTTGAGGAATAGTAGGATGTCAAACGTAATACCTAAGTGCCCACCCTAGCAGTTTTTTTTTGGGGGGGGTGTAATGGAGCAGTTTGTATTTCAATTAACTATAAGAAGTCTCGTGTACACTCAATTTTGCTTCAGTGTAGCATTATCTCCCTGGAATCTTGGAAAGCTCTGTGCATTTGAAATGAACTTTCCATGATGCTCACTATCTTCTTACAAACTATAATCATCAGAAGCCTGAAAGTGATTGTATTTGGTCTGCAGTTTATGTGTGCATTAATTTCAAAGTAAATTCAATTCGGGTTTCAATGAGGAATGGATTTGTCTTCAAATTCTATAGTTAGAACTTGCTTGCCTTTTTTTCTTTCAGTAAGTTATTGTATCTAAAAAAGAAATGAGCTATCTTCATATACAATTAACATTAGAAATCAATGTATGTTGCAACTGATCATTTTTAAATTTAAAAATAAAAAACTAATCTTAGTGTAATATGTATCTAAAGCCTGATCCTGAAATATTGCAGTATTCCTGCAGTACCCTTCATCTGTCAAAATAGTTTGGCTCCATTAGGACATCACTACTCTCACTTGTACAAGCATCAATATAAATGTTTTAATATAGACTGACAAAACAGATAAAAATTAGAAAATAACACAACAAACTCAGACAGATTACTATTATCATTTAACACCACTCCATAAATCTTCTCCAAAAGAAACATTTTAATATGATTCAAAGATTGAGTTACAAACACAGAACAAAAAGATGTATTGAATCTTTCAAAACATAAGCACAAGTTTTGAATTGAACAAGAGTTACTTTGCTCATCAGTAGTTAAAATAGAAAGTGTGTCCATACATTCCATTGATTCCACAATAGTGAAGGATGCTGCTAACTTTAAAAGTGATGGCCAAGATCCAAATTATTCAAGTATCTTGCGCAGCCCAAGGGATAGCTGGACTTCTATTTTACACAGGCAAGTCCCCAGTCCTCTCTCTTTGACATTTAAAAATTTGTTTTTGGAGAAGAGTTTTCTAGATTTCACCACCTTCAGTTTCAGTACCTGTGGCACTTGCCAAATTTTTCCCAATGCAAATTTAGTTCTGAATTGTTCCTTCTCTACAAAGATACACTTGTGCATGTACATTAAGCAACATACAGCAACATATATCATAAATAGGCATGGCATCATATAACAACAGAGAAGTGAACTAAGGTGCAAAGAGAGAAAGGATGTCTCTGGAGATCTATGGTAAGACTATTAGGGATTAGGACAGCTTGCAAAGATCCACTAAAGTTTATAACCAGAGCTACAGTCCCAGGCACACTTACCTGGGAGAAAACTCTACTCAACCCAGTGGGATTTACTTCCAAATAATCAGTCTACACAGTCAAACTGAGCTTCTGACCTCACTCCACCAAAACAAAAGCACCACTGAAAAGGACTGGGATTTACCTTGAAGCCAAAATGCAGAAATGCCATCCAGCAAATGGCAGCTATTTTTTTTTTATGGCCCCAGAAAAAGAGAAGCAATGAAGCTTCCCATGGTCCTTTTCCTTTTTCTCTTTTTCTGCCTTCAGAAATTGTCCAGAGAGGGAACGCCTGGATTGAAGATGCAGGTTTTCTAAAGTCAGGAATGAGAAGAGGAAAGTTTATCAAGCCCCATCCTCCCCACTTCTGATTTCATTTCTTTTAAGATGAAAGGCGGCACAAAGAGAAAAAAAGAAAGAAAAGAAAGTGGGAAAGGGCATCTTAGTCCTTTCTCAGCCACATGGCTACAATACTGAGAAAGTGTCAGAATCCAATTATATTTCATCTCTAGTTATCAACTATAGAAAACCCCATTTCTGCCTTCTCTGGATTCTGTCATACGATGAAGGGAAGGGGGTGAGCAAAGGGGCTTTATGGCCCTCACTTCTTTCAGTACATTTCAAAGGGATTGGATGTGGATATCACCAGAAGGACTAACCATAACAATGGGGCTATTACCTTTCATGTACTCCTCTCTGAAGTTTCCCTGAGGAAAAGGGGGTGGGAATGTAATGCTTGAGTCTGTCACTGGAAGAAGGGGGTGATTGGGTGGGACTACTGGGGAATCCCTTAAAACCTTGAATGGGAGAGCTTGGACCCCAAGTCCTGTCTAGAATGCCTGTAACCACCTTCTCTTAATAAAGATGCCTGTTGGAAGAAAGATTCCAAGAGTTCTGTCTTCTTAAGATGCAAAGTGGGGTGGGTCCTTACAGAAAGAGATATGAGAAGAGAAATGAGAACAGCTGGTGGATGGATGGTTGAAGACAGAGAAAGAGAGATGGATGGAGATAAATAGACAATAGATATATGATAGGTAGATAGATACAGATAGAGGTAGGAGAGCTGTGAATAGATAGATGGAGATGATAGATAGATAGATAGATAGATAGATAGATAGATAGATAGATAGATACAGATAGAAGAGCTGTGAATAGATAGATGGAGACGATAGATAGATAGATAGATAGATAGATAGATACATACATACAGATAGAAGAGCTGTGAATAGATAGATGGAGCCGATAGATAGGTAGAGAGAGAGAGAGAGATAGCAAGAGATGATAGCTAGATATAGATAGATATAGATAGATGGAGACGATAGAGATAGGAGAGCTGCGAATAGATAGATGTGGATGACAGATAGGTAGATAGATACAGATAGAAGAGCTGTGAATAAATAGATTAGATGCTAGATAGCTAGATAGCTAGAAGAGCTGTGAATAGATAGATGGAGAAGATAGATAGATACAGAAGAAGGAGAGCTGTGGATAGATAGATGGAGATGATAGACACACAAGCTGTGGATAGATAGAAATGGATAATTTAATGTAGGTAGATTAGATAGGCAGGCAGATAGTACAGAATATAGCAAAGATACACAGTTTACTGTAGAGTAAGAGAATAACAGAGTTGGAAGGCTCCTTGGAGGTCTTCTAGTCCAACCTTGTTCTCTTCTAGCGATCTGACAGAAGATAGAAGTGTGTGTGTGTGTGTGTGTGTGTTATCACACGCCCCCCTTCACCTTCTGCTCCTCCGCCTCACAAAGACCGGCCTGTTGCAAGCCATCAAAACCAAGTTTAACTGTCCTCTCCCCCCCCCGGGGTTCCCTCGTCCGTCCGTCCGTCCGTCCCATCCGCAGCGCGCGGGCCCATCTCGGCCTCCCAAGTCTCGCCTCAACCGCCTTCTTCCCCGCCCCCGCCCCCGGCGGAGAGGCTCCTTTTGTTCGGCGGCCTGGTCCCTCCTCCGCCGTCCTCCCGGCCTTCCGTCCCGTCCGGGCTCCCCTGAGGTACGACCCCTTCCGCCGAGAGAGAGAGAAAGAGGCCGATCGGCCCGGGCGCCTCCGCTTCGCCAGGCCCGGCTGGCGCCGCTCCCCTCAGAGCAGGCCCGCCCGCGCGCGCGCCGCTAGGCCGCGGTGTGAGGGAAGCGCCGCAGTGGCGGCCCGGCTCGGTCGGCTCTCGAGGAGGCCGTGCGCGGCGGCCTGGCTCTTCCCTCCTCACCTGTGGGCGCTGGGCTGGGGCTGAGCCGCGGCCTGGCTCCCACCCGGAGGAGAGTCCGCGAGGAGGATCGAGCGGGCGTCGTTGAGGACGACGAGCAGCAGGAGGAAGAGGAGAAAAGGAGGCGCGGGAGGGAGGCAGCAAACACACAAACAAAAAGGGAGGGAGCGAGCGATCGAGCGACAGGGGAGGCGGGCCGGCCGGCCGGCGCTGCGTGGCTCCTCGCGGCTCAGGCGGGGGAACTCGTGCGCGCGGGCGCGGCGAACGAAGCGACCGAGGAAGGTTGAAAAGAAAAATTAAAAACAAAACAAAACCAAACCCAAAAAAAAAAAAAAAAGGCGACCGACCGAAGGCGACCTTTTCTCTCCGAAGCGCGGCCGAGGCTGGAGAGGGCGCGCGAGAGAAGCTCTCCGGCGGCTACGCGCGCACCCGCCTCGCGGGCACGGCTCTTCGCGAGGCTGCCGTCGCCGCCGCTCTCCTCCCCCCGCCCCTTTCACCTGACGCGCAGGCGCAGTCGGGCCCGGCTGAGGGAAGGAAGGAGGGAGGGAGGTGACTCGGCAGGGTCGGAGTTCGCCCTTTGCGAGGAAACCATGGTTTATTCTCCGGCAATGGTGGTTTAGTCTGCCAACCCAGCAGGAGGATGCCCAAGAAAAAAAAAAAGAGGTAAAAAAAATATTGCACAAATTGCACAAATATATATATATATTCTGAGGTTTTCGCAGGTGTTTTTATGTAGGTCTTTGGTTATTCGGGTTTTGACGCGGGAGAAAACCCGAATAACCAAATATATATATATATGTATATATGTATATATGTATATATGTATATATGTATATATGTATATATGTATATATGTATATGTATGTATATATATGTGTGTATGTGTGTGTGTGTATATATGTATGTATGTATGTATATGTGTGTGTGTGTGTGTGTGTGTTTAGTCGCTCATATATATAACGTTTGCAGGAAGCATCCATCCTAAATTTAAAAAAAAAAGTCTTCTTTCTGTTTGTAATATTGTGGTACATCTTCATGGGCGTATTAATAATTACTACATTTTTCTGAGCAGAGCATTTTAAACGTTAAGTTAAATAACATTTAAAATTATATCTACTGCTGTTTGGCAGCCACTCCATTTTTTTATTTTTTTTTATTTTTTGGCCTGGGAAGGATTAATATTTGGGACGTGCAAATAAACAGTCAATGGGAAGTATAAATAAACAATCCATTAATCTATCATTCTTGGCCCCGGTTTTTCTAGACTCCATTCCCTTCTCGGCCTCCTGGTTTACCCCCACAATAGAAGTCTGCACAGAGCCAGACTCTTTGCAAAGGGATTGTCTTCCAAGGAGCCTAACGAATTTCGCAGCTTTTCCCCCCTGAATATTCATCAGTCTCACCAGTGGGGCTACCCCCCTCCCGCCCTCTGTTTGGACCCCTTTTCTCACGTGCAATTGAGGGGCCTTTGCTCAGCCAGTGTAAAAAAAAAAAAGAGAGAGAGAGAGAGAGAAAACATTTACAAAATTAGGCAGCGTTTCAGATGGCTCTGCTTGAGTCCATCAGCAATACCTTTTATCACCAGAGTCCCAACACTCCAAAAATTGGCAAGCAAAGGAAGCTGAGCGTGAGCTTTTTCCTCAAACACAGACTTGGCAGCCTAAACTACAGATCCCTCATTCCGCTTCAGGCAGGAAATTCAAAAGGGTTTAAGCGAGAAAAGGGATCTTGGAGGTCATCTAGGCTAATCCAACCCGCTGGTCTGAAATGGAAGATCCAACGGTCCTGGATTTTAGAAGATAGAATAACGGGGGTTGGAAAGAAGCTTGAAGGTCTTCTAGTCCAGGGGCCCTTTTATGACTTGTGGACTTCAACTCTCAGAATTCCTTAGCCAAGCACTTGTGTCTGACTTTTTGCAACCCCGTGGACCACAGCACGCAAGGGTTTCCTGTCCTCCACTGTCTCCCGGAATTTGCCCAAATTCACGTTCGTTGTGTCAGTGACACTATATAACCCTCTCCCCCTCAGCCGTCCCTTCCTCCTTTTGCTTTCCATCTTCCCCAACACCAGGGTCTTTCCCAATGGTTCCTCTCTGCTCATTTGGTGGCCAAAGTAGAGACAGTACTTTGTAAGTCCTTGAGTTACAACAGTTCATTTAGTGATTGTTCGAAGTTAAACAACGGCACCGAGAAAGGACTGTTTTTCACACAAACGTTGCAGCATCCCCACAGTGACATGATCAAAATTCAGACGCCTGGCAACTGACTCGTATTTATGACGGTCTCAGTGTCCCGGGGTCATGTGATCCCCTTTTGCGTCCTTCTGACCAGCAAAGTCAAGGGGGGAAAGGCAGATTCACTTAACAACTGTGTTACTAATTATTAACCGTGTTACTAATTATTCCCTTAACTGTGGCCAGAAAGATCGTAAGTTGGGGCAAAACTCAGTTAACAAATGTCTCATTTAGGCTCAAATTGTGGTCGAAAGTCAAGGACAACCTGTTTTTGAATTTTAGCTTCCGTATCTGGGAACATCTGTGTAGTAGAAAATAAATATTATTGTTTTTTGTAAGCTATGGAATAAAACTTGATCGATGTGGCCCAAGAGGTTCAGAAGAAGCGTGGCAGGGCTGATCCATAACCAGAAAGCAGTAAGCTGGAGGTCTTTCTTTCTTACTGACGGGGGATCCAAAGATGGCCAGACTGGTGTCTTTTGTGCTGGTCCACAACACAAGTGTAGCAAAGCCAAGAGGGGTATAGCCAGAAGGTGTAGCTTCTGACTCAGCCTCAGCAGAAATGGCAAAATTAGAATGAGGTCCTACAAAGCCCCAAAAGTTGACTTTGGCTGAGTGGCAGGCCTTACATAATAGCTGCCTTCTTCTTTAAAGATTAGGTATTAAAAAGCCAGAACAATTTGCTGGTGATAAATGGGGCCTTGGCCAAATGGAACTGGTCTTTGATCTATTATTTTATCAATTGAATAGACTGATATCTGCCAAAGAGCAGGAATTCCCGTCTTAGGATTTTGTTCTTGGGAGTTTAGCAGATTGCTTAGGTAAACAGAAAATAAATGACGAGAAGGAAGAAGGATCACGAGAAGCTGAAATGGAACGTAGTTGGCACAAATTTAGAAATTAGATGCCATCTATATATATATAGGATTGGATCCAACCTTAGAGTAATCCCATTGATTGAAGTGGGTCTATTGTCATTATAGAATAGCCTGAATCTAGCCCCTAATTTTATCATATGATTGAGTACAGAGAACAGCCTGGATATAATTTTTTTCCCATGGAATTTGAAGTTGATTGTGTCATTTTTTTTCTTAAAAAAAAAAGAAAAAGAAAACTGGAAATCTCTATGAATTGCAAAAAAAAACAAAGAATACAAATGAAAGAGAAAGAAAAAGAAAGCAATATTTGAAAACTGCATAGTTTTAAATTCCTTCTCATTGTGCCTTCCCAATTATACCCACATGCTTATTAAAAATATTCCCGATTATAGACATTATGTTGCTTATTTCTCCCTTAAACACAGTACTCTAAAAGTCTGAATTTTCTGTTTAATGTATAATAAATACATTATACATATATATTTTAAACATAATTTTAAAAATATCAAAAAAAGATGTATATGGCTTTGTTGGCATGACCTCTGTCGTTCCCTTTAGATACAAAGGGAATTGTCTGAGTCAAGATTTTACTCTATCCTGTTCTGCCTTGGTACTTTATTTTGCAGATTTAAGAGAGGTTTCTACTCCGTGATTGATCATAGACAGGTGTCCCCTAATAATTCCTTCATTCCAGGAATTTACTCACCCCACTGGGATTGGCCCGCCCCACTAGTGCTGGCATGCTGCTGGTCCCACCATCCTGTTTATTCCAGCTGGTGGGGTCCAGGAGGAGGGTCTTCTCTGCTGTGATTCCTGCCCCTCTGGAACATCTTGCCGAGATGTGAGGCTGGCCCCAGCAGTTCTGTCTTTTAAAGACGTGGCTCTGCCAGTCGGCTTGCGGTCCCAGTGGGGTAACAGTGCAATGGAGATAGTTGATTCAGTAATAACTGATCCCACTTCCACCCCCTCCGCCCCCCTCCCCATATGTCCTTGGTTTTAATAATAATATAAAGTTGGAAGGGACCTTGGAGGTCTTCTAGTCCAACCTCCTGCTTAGGCAGGCAGCCCTGTACCATTTCAGACAAATGGTTGTCCAGTCTCTTCTTGAAAACTTTCAGTGTTGGAGCATTCACCGCTTCTGGAGGCAGGTTGTTCCACTGGTTAATTGTTCTAATTGTCAGGAAGTTTCTCCTTAGTTCTAGGTTGCTTCTCTCCTTGATGAGTTTCCATCCGTTGCTTCTTGTCCTGCCTTCAGGCGCTTTGGAGAATAGCATGTCACCCCTTGCGTTCTCTTCATTAAACTAGACCTTATATATATATGTTTATATAGATGTGTGTGTGTGTGTATATGTGTGTGGATGGATAGATAGGTAGATAGATAGATAGATAGATAGATAGATAGATAGATAGATAGACAGACAGACAGACAGACAGACAGACAGACAGACAGACAGAGCGAGCTGTGGATGGATAATGAAGATGATAGATAGATAGATAGATAGATAGATAGATAGATAGATAGATAGATAGATAGATAGATAGATAGATAGATAGATAGATAGATAGATAGATAAATTAAATCTTCGAGGAATCCTACTTTGGAGGAGCAGTTTCATCTCCAGGTTATCCCTAAGATACTAAACTGCTCAGAGGCAACCATGTGCCCTAAATAACTTGCAACAAAATTAAATTGATAGTAATTTTATCTCCCAAGGAAAAGAAAACAAAAATGCAAATGGAGACTCTGAATTGCCTGGAGTGGTTTTGCAAAGTGCCAGCTTAACTCACAAATGTTACTTTGCTAAATTGGATCCAGATGTTTACAGGGCATAAAATATTAACAAATATTTCCCAGGGCAGCCGATTGTTATTGAGCTAAGAAATTAATAAATGGAGCAAAGAGAAAGAGAAAAAAATCATTAGGGTGAATAACACATTTTGGGGGCCAAACATCTGCCATTTCTTGGTTTCTTTTAATAAAAGCAAAGATCCATGACTGTAATTTAATTAATTGTGGCCAGCATAAAGTGGTGTTCGCCTGGTTTATTTACTTGGGCTGTGCAGTGCAACACCCCCTCACACACACAATTCCTTAATTATTTTATTGGGAAGATAGTCCTGGGCTAGGTTTTCCAGTAAAGGTTAGACAAAGACAAATTTAGCATACAGATAATCCTTGACTTACACATAAT